GATGCTGCAGAGTGTGGTCTGTGCTCCACGGTGTCCCTCTGCAAACAGACCCACCAGGAGTCAGTCATGGGGATCCTGCCCTGGTGACCTTAATCCTGACCTCCTCCCCAAAGTCCTACGTTTTGACCATAATCACATCAAATTTTCCTCTTAGTCCTGTTACAATGATCCAACACATGAATTTTGAGAGAACATATTCAAGCGATAGCAGTGTTTTGTTTTGTTTTTAACTCATTTCCCCTGGTTGGCACTCTTAGTATATTTAATACAGAGATGTGTTTTTTCTGGAAAATTATAATTATTTATTTTATATTTAAATTTGATTTATCAGAGGGCACATGTGCTTTTGAGAGAGAGAGAGAGAGAACGAGAGAAAGCACCCCCAAGGGGGACACGGTCACACCAGAATCCTGTTTCTTCCATTTCTCTGTCCCCGTCAGGGTGTACTTGTGTACTTGCGTGTGTACACACACACACACACACACACACACACACACACATGCCTACATGTTTATCAAATCACAGGGGTGGCATGCAAACTGTGGTCAGCCATTTAGGATCTGGCTCTCTTAACTGCTAGATTATGGGATCAATCCAATTGTATCATAATTTTGATAATTTTTTGCATTTCTATTTTCTCTTTTCTCCATTTCTAAAACTCATATTAGTTGGGTAGGAGATGTCCTATATTGATCCTAATGCTTCTTTTTATTTTTCTCATAGTTTTAATTTCTCTACTCATTGTCATTTCTAGAACTGACCATTTTACCATTGAATTTTATATTTTGGCAGTTGTATTTTTAATTTCTAAAACCTTTTAAAAAGTTCTTATTGTTTTTTTGCATAGGAATTGGATTTGTTTTCTAGATGTACTACCATATTAAATGTCTCAAAGTATTAATCTATTCATAGTTTTAAGGAAATCTGTTATTTCCATATTATATGTGTTTCATCCAGGAACTTTTAGTTTTCCATTTTGCTAATTATCGTGGATTCTGATGTTGAAGGCTTTCATTTCATGTCTCGTGAACTTTTTATTGTTAGATTTATTTATTTACTTATTTATTGAGAGAGATTCTTGCTATAGGGTATTTGTGCTCACCAGAGACACAGAGATACAGAAAGCAAGAAATCAACCCCCAGGGGGATGATCACACTGCAGTCCCTTCTCCTCTGTTCTCCTCATGGAATTTTTGGCATGTGTGCACATGTGCCTGACATGAATTTTAAGCTGCTGGATCTGGGACTTGAACTGTGGTCGACTGTGTGGGAGTCCAGCGATGCCATCTGCTGGTCCTACTAGTTCATTTTTAAGCTGAGGGAGGAAACAGAAAACTTGTTAGAAATGCTGAAAATGTGGCAGAACTTTTAGACTGGCAGGATTTGTGTGGAAGCTATTGGGCAGGGGGCTGATTCTAAGACTGGAATCAGCAAAATGCAATATATCTTGGTTTTTACACAAGGCTATTGATTCCTTACAAAAGAACACTCAGAATGGTGTGTGTGTATGTGTGTGTGTGTGTGTGTGTGTGTATGTGTTTTGAGAGATTTTTGCTATGGGGTGTGTGTGCTCGCCAGAAAAACAGAGAGAAACAGAGAGACAGAAAGTGAGAAATCACCCCCAGGGGGGATGGCCAAGCCACAATCCCTTCTCCTCCATTGTCCTCTCAGGATCCTGGGCACGTATGCACACGTGCTCGGCGTGAGTTTAAGCCACCGGGACCAGGACTCAAACTGCGGTCAGCTACATGGGAGTCCAGCAATGTAGCCATTATGACATCTGCTGGTTCCTCAGAATGTATATAATTGACACATAATATTGTACATATTTGTGGTGAACAACGTGATTTTTCAGTAATACAATGAGTAATGATCAAGTCAGGGTTATTAGCACATCCATTATCTCACATATTTGTCATTACTTTGTGGTGAGAACATTCAAAATCCTCCCTCTTAACTCTTCTGAGATACATAACAAAACAAGAGACATGCAATATAAGAAAAGAAAACTCTATAATATATTCCTTACATATAGACCTGCAAATATATAGTGAAGAGTTAGCAAATTGAACCCACCAATATATCAAATGGATGAAACATCATTGTGGGAGGCTGCACACCAGCGAGTTGGCCGAGGTTTCTCAGAAAGCAAACAATTGCCATGATTGGTTCCCTTCAAAAAACCTGACCTTCGAAATTTTGCTCTGATTGGCCACTAGAATTCCTCAGATTTGCATATCTGGCACCTCATAATTGGTCCAAAAGCAACCAATCATAACCCACCATTTACAACCAATCACGGCCCACCAGTGTGTATATAACCATGATGCCTGGCCCACAGGCCCCCAGTAGCCAGATGACCAGGAAGACGACACAGACGACCAGGAAGGCGACACCGATGACCAGGAAGACGACAACGACCCTGGAGAGCCTAAAGAGTTGAAACACCGCACAGTCTCCAGATGACCCTGAAGACCCTGAAGAACTGTAACACTACATCGTCTCCAGACGACCCTGAAGAGTTGTGACACTGCGTCATCTCCGTGCTGCTCACAATCGACAACACAACACTGAAGAGTTGTAACACTGCGTCGTCTCTGTGCTGTACCTTGCTGCCCACAATAAACAGACGACACTGAAGACACTGTGTCATCTCCGTGTTGTAACACTATGCCGCTTGTCCCGGCTCTCACTCCTTCACTCAGGAAACCTGTTTGACTGTCCCCCCGGGTCGGGACACATCATGACCAAATGGGGTTTGTCCTAGGAATGCTAGGTGAGTTCATCATTTGAAACTCAATGGATGTAGTTCCTGACTTCAAAGACTAAAGAAGAAGAAACATTGGACCAGCAGGTAGTGTGGAGATTAAGGCAGCTAGGTCCCAGATGGCCTACCGCATCGATTGAGTGCTTGAAAATCCTCCAGATGTATGTGCGTGCATGCTCAAAATACTAAGGGAGAATGGAGAAGGGATTGTGGTGGGCCATCTCCCCTGGAGGTTGATTTCTCACTGTCCCCCCTTCTCTGTCTCTCTCTCTAGCAAGTATAGCAAACAAACAGAAATGAAGAAGGAAAAAACAGATTGATTATATCAGTTGGTAAAGAAAAAGTATTTGACACAATAGAGCATTCATTTGCAATAAATATGCTCAACACACTAGGGAGAGAAAGGAAAATTTATGACCAGACAGAAGTTATCAGCATAAAACCTTTCGCTTATATGGTGAAAACAGTACTTTGTCTCTAAGATTTAAAATGAAACAAAAGTATCTTCCCTCATCATTCCTATTCACCATCACACTGTAGGTTCTGGCCAGTATAATAAGGTAAGAAAATGAAATAAAAGACATACAGAAGGAAACAAATAAGATTGTTTCTATTTGCAGGCATTTCTCTACAGAGAAATATCTTCCTTCATCATTCCTATTCACCACCACACTGTGGGTTCTGACCAGGATAAGGTAAGAAAATGAAACAAAAGGCATACAGACGGAAACAAATAAACAAGATTATTTCTATTTGCAGGCATTTCTCTACAGAGAAAATGTCAAAATTAATTAATTTCATGAGAGAAAGAAAGAGAGAGAGAGTTCTCAGGGTCTAATCACGTTGAATCTCCTCCCCTAGGCTTCCAGCCAGCCAGGATCACAGGCATGTCTGGAGATGTGCATGTTCAGGTCAACCTGGGTTATAAACTCAGGACTTTCCCATTGTGCTTTTCCAGTATCACACAGCAGTGTCCTACCGTAACAGATGGCCCAATCGTACTGTTTATTAAATTTCCATTTCCAGTTGTTTGTTACTAATGTATTTTTTTTTTTTTTTACTTTTTATTCTGTGACCGTGCCCTTACCATTAGTTTATTCGAGTAGTTTTGCTAAAAATTCTTAGACATTTTCTGGTACATTTTTTAAAACTAAGACATTAGTTTTTTTGTTTTTTTTTTTTTGAGAGGTTTTTGCTGTAGGGCGTGTGCACTTGCCAGACAGACAGAGAAAGACAGAGAGACAGAAAGCGAGAAATCACCCCCCAGGAGGGATGGCCACGTCGCAATCCCTTCTCCTCCATTCTCCTCTCAGGATCTTGGGCACGCACACACACGCGCCTGGTGTGAGTTTAAGCCACCAGGTCCGGGACTTGAACCGCGGTCGACTACGTGGGAGTCCAGTGAAATAGCCATTACGCTAACTGCTGGTCCCAAGACATTAATTTTAACACATTTTTTAAAACTAAGAAATTCATGGGAACCAACAGTTAGTGTAATGGCTATGTCATTGGACTCCCACTTAGTCGACCGCGGTTCACATCCCGGACCCGGTGGCTTAAAACCCATGCCAGGCGCGTGTGCATGCGTGCATGCCCAGGATCCGGAGAGAAGAATGGAGGAGAAGGGATTGTGGCGTGGTCATCCCCCCTGGGGGGGTGATTTCTCGCTTTCTGTCTCTCTGTCTCTCTCTGTCTGGCAAGCGCACGCGCCCTATAGTGAAAGACCTCTAAAAAAAAAATAATAAAACTAAGAAATTCACATTGATTTATTGCTATTACTTTGTGATCCTAATGTATTTGGATTTTGCCAACTATTTTACTCATATCCTTTGTATCCTTCAGGACTACAGTGTGTTTAATCATGTCTCCTTCATTCTTTCCATGTTTTCAATGGCCTTAAGATTTAGGAAGAGTACTTCAGATGTTTTATAGTAGGGTCATCAGCTTAGATCTCTCTGACATTTTCTTTTTCTATTTTTAACTTTTTGTTTTAATTTACGTTTAATCACATATATCTTTACAGTGTATGACATTGCTTTTTCCAGCACGAATACCATGCATATCAGTCAAGACAAAGACATTACTATATACGTTATCATCAGCAATCTCTGACGTTTTCTTATTATTAGACTAAGGTTATGGGTTGGAGGAAAAATGCACCCTTCTCACTGCATCATTTAAGGACATGTGACATCAACGTGATATTACTGATGAAGTAAACCTTAATCACTTGGTCAAGGTCACCACAAATTTAGATATATTGTGTTCTCATTTAAATTGAAAATATGTTCTGATTTCCTTTATGACTTCCACTTTGACTCATGAGTTACTTCAAAGCACATTGCTTAATTACCAAGTATTTGGGGATTTTCCAGATATCTTTCTGTTATTTACTTCTAATTTTATTCTGTTGTGCTCAGAGATCATGCTTTTTATGATTTTCATTCCTTTTTTTTTTTTTTTAGAGCTTTTTGCTAAAGGGCGTGTGTGCTCAACAGAAAGACAGAGAGAGACAGAGAGACAGAAAGTGAGAAATCACCCCTCAGCGGGGATGGCCACACCACAATCCTTTCTCCTCCATTCTTCTCTTGGGATCTTGGGCATACACACACATGCGCCCGGCGTGAGTTTAAGCCACCAGGCCCAGGACTCGAACCACGGTTGACTATGTGGGAATCCAGTGACATAGCCATTACGTTAACTGCTGGTCCCTATGATTTTCATTCTTTTGGACTTGCTGAGTCTTAAGAATATGTTATTTACTTCTAATTTTATTCTGTTGTGCTCAGAGATCATGCTTTTTATGATTTTCATTCCTTTTTTTTTTTTTAGAGCTTTTTGCTAAAGGGCGTGTGTGCTCAACAGAAAGACAGAGAGAGACAGAGAGACAGAAAGTGAGAAATCACCCCTCAGCGGGGATGGCCACACCACAATCCTTTCTCCTCCATTCTTCTCTTGGGATCTTGGGCATACACACACATGCGCCCGGCGTGAGTTTAAGCCACCAGGCCCAGGACTCGAACCACGGTTGACTATGTGGGAATCCAGTGACATAGCCATTACGTTAACTGCTGGTCCCTATGATTTTCATTCTTTTGGACTTGCTGAGTCTTAAGAATAGGGTGAACCTTGGTGAACATTTCATAAGTACTTGAAAAGAGTATACATTAGTATGCATGCTGCTGTTGTTGAGTGTTGTAGAAATGTCAAGTTGGTTGATTGTGTTAAGTCTTACATAACTTCACTTATCTTCTGTCTGTGCTGTTGATTACTGAGGAGTCTTTAAATTAACTACCATTGTAGATCTGTCTTTGCCTACTCAATTCTACCAGTTTTTGCTTCATGTATTTTGGAACTCTTTGTTAAGTGCATACACAATTAGGATTATTTCATCTTCTTGGTTAATTTATCACTTTATCATCATATAATGTTGCTCTCATATCATATTTCTTTTTTATTTTATTATATTTTTAAGATTTTTGCCATAAGGCACATGCACTTGTTAGAAAAAGACAGAGAGAGGCAATGAGAGGAAAAATGAGAAATGACCCCTCAGGATGTTTGGCCACGCCACAATCCCTTCTCCTCTGTTCTCCTCCTGGAATTTTGGGCATGCATGCACAGGCACCCAGTGATAGTTTCAAGCTACTGGGACTTGAACCATGGTCAGCCATGTGGGAATTCAGTGCTTTAACCACCACTCCACCTGCTGGCCCCATGATCATATTTCTTGTTCTGAAGTCTAACTCTTCTGATCTTAATATAGACACTCCAGCTTTTTCTTTTTGATTTGTGTTATAATATAAAATGCATTAGTTATTAGCTTTTATTAAACTAGTGGTATTTTTGGAGAAATTGTAGGTTCATAGAAAAACTGAGCAGAGGGCTAGTGGTAGTTAAGGGAGCCAAATCCCACATGGTTGACCTTGCAGTTTGAATCATGGCCCTGGCAGCTTTAAAAACATGCTGGGAACATGTGCATGCATGCCTCAAATCCAGACAGGATGGAGAAATGGAGGAGAAGGGATTGTGGTATGACAATATTCCACTGAGGGGCACTTTTTCTTCTATCACTCCCTGTCTGTCTCTTTGGCAAGTGCACTCACCCTCTTGTAAAATTTAAAACAAAACACAGTAGAAAAACTGAGCAGAAATTACAGCATTTCCAATTATCCCATCTCCCTCCCTCTATACTTTCCCCTATTATTAACATCTTTCTTTTTCTTTTTCTTTCTTTCTTTCTTTTTCTTTTTTTTTTTTTGAGAGGTTTTTGCTTTAGGGCGTGCACTCGCCAGAAAGACAGAGAGACAGAAAGCGAGAAATCACCTCCCCAGGGAGAATGGCCAAGCCAAAATCCCTTCTCCATTCTCCTCTCGGGATCTTGGGCACGCACGCACCAACACCTGGCGTGAGTTTAAGCCACCAGGTCCAGGACTCGAACTGTGATCGACTACATGGGAGTCCAGTGACATAGCCATTACACTAACTACCGGTCCCAACATCTTTCAATTAATATGATATATTTTTTATAATTAATGAACATATATTAAAATACTATTAACCTAAATCTGTAGTTTATATATTAGGCTTCATCCTGTGTTGTATAATTCTGTGAGTTTTGAGAGATGTATAATGTCTTGTATCCACCCTTACAGATCATACAGAGCAGTTTTACTGACCTAAAAATTTCCTGTGGTACATCTATTCATCACCCTAGCCCCAGACACTTGGCAACCACTGATATTTTCACTGTCTTTATGGTTTTGCCTTTCCCAAATGTCATATAGTTGGAATTAATTTTAAAATTGACTTCTTTCACTTAGTGATATGCATTTAAGGTTTCTCTGTCTTTCTGGGACTTGATAGCTTATTTATTTATAGTCTGGGTAATATTTTGTTGTCTAGATGTCCCAGAGTTTGTTTCCATTCGCCTGCTGACTGAGACCTTGGTTGCTTTGGTAATCATGAATAAAGCTGCTATAAACACCTTTGTGCAAAGTTTTTTGTAATCATAAGTTTTCAACTCATTTTTGGTAAATACTAAAGAGTGTGATTACCAAAAATACTAAAGAGTGTGATTGCTGTCTTATCTATCAATAGTAAGAGTATGTTTAGCTTTATGAGAAATTGCCAAACAATTTGCCAAAGTGACTGTATTTTCATTTATACCAGCAATGAATGAGAGTTCCTGTAGCTCCGTGTCTTCCTCAGGATTTGATATTGCATATGTTTTAAATTTTTCACCATTCTAATAGGTGTATAGCAAGCAGCATCACATCGTTGTTTTAAATTGCATTGTCCCTAGTGGCATGGGCCAGTTAGCATCTTTTCATATTTTTTGTTGCCATCCGTATATATTTTTTGATAAGGTTGACTGTTTAGATATTTTGCTCATTTTTAACTGAGGTATTTGTTTTTTATTGCCAAGTCTTAAGCATTTTGTGTATATTTATCAAATATGTATTTACAAATATTTTCTCTTAGTCTGACAACATTGTCTTCTAATTCTTTTGACATAATTTAATTTTATTATTTATTTTTAGTCTTTGCTATAGGTCACATGTACTTGCCCGAGAGAGACAAGAGACAGAGAGAGAGAGGTGGGGCAAAGTGAAAAAGTATCCCTCGCAGAGGGTATGGCCGTGTCACAGTGGCCACAGGAGATGAGTCTCCTCCATTTCCTCTTGGAATTTTCGGCATGCACAGGCATGTGCCCAGCATAGTCCTCCAGCCACTGGCTCTCAAGCCACCTCTACCACCACACTACCAGTCAACCTGACATTATTTATTTATTTTTAAAATAGCTATTTATTTAATTGTATTTGTTATTTTTTTTTTTTTTCATTTTGCCAGAGAGAGAGAGAAAGGGAAAGTGAGAAAGCAAGTGGACAGGTTCAG